TTGGGAACAAACACAATTCCCCTTCTCATTCTCACGCCTGGCTCCTCAGGGGGATCCAGGATCTTCCCAGGACCTTGTGGTCACTCGTTCCTCTCGCCCGCTGTCATGATGGAGGGCCGGCAATTCCTCCCCTCGTTGCGCCCTCCTCTTCCTCCTCCTCCTCATCTTCCTCCTCCCCCTTCGTCCATACCCCCGTAGGTTTAGGCAGATCCCGCCGGTGAAAGAGTGGGAGCCGGACCCGCCGCAAATGTACGCTCGCCGGTAACTTTCTGGTTGCGTTCCCTCCTGTCCAGATGCGTACTAAATCTCGCATTGTTCCTCGCCCCCCCCCCGGGCATCGCCTTTTTTATTAAGTTATCATGTGTTCATGCGCCCGGTAGAGGAGCCTTGCTCGGGTACAGGAACCGCCAGGTTACAAAATGGCCGTGCCAAACAAACAGTTCCGGATGAAGACCAGCCGAATTCACATGTCATGTCGTAGGCCTTGCCGTCATGCAGTACCCAGTCCACGGGCGCACAACCCACGATTTCCCCCTCCCCTTCCTCTTCCTTCTCTTCCCCCCGCTTCCAAGTTCAACGTCTAGCTCCACCTGCGTCGACACGTCCACCTCCAACGCCATGTCCCCCTCCCTCCTCATGTTCCGGCATCCGCCCTTCACTTTCCTCCCTGTTCATTCCTCCCTCTCTCCTCTCCATCCTCTCTCTCCTCCTCCATCCCTTCTGGCGTGAACAACCCCTCCATGTCGCATCCCCATCTAAGCTGGCTCGCGCTGAGCTCCAGCACGCGGAGGAGTCCTCACAGACCACGTACCAAGATGATTTCGAGACTGCCCTGGAGGCCTCGATGACGCGTAACGATGGATCTAAGGCGACCCCCGAGAGAGCCCCAAGAAGCAATAATGGTCAATTTCCTTGGGGGAATATCTATGTTTAGCAAATTCGCATTTTTTGGTATTGGAAAAAAACGCCCAAAACGGCTCAAGAGGCCCCCTAGACCGCTCCAAAACGACCCAGGAAGCCTCCAACAAGGCCCCAAGACGGCCGAAGAGGGCCCCAAGACGGCCCAAGAGGCGCCCAAGATGGCACAAAAGAGCCCCAACAGGGCACCAAGAGGGGCCAACTCGAGCTGACATTCCGAGCCATCCGCCCCAAGAGGACCCCCGGGACCGCCTTTTTGATTGCGAGTGACGCGGAAAGAGCCGCGCACCGTCAGGTAAGGTCAAACAAATGCAACGCCGCGCGAGTGCAGGGCAGCGGAAAAGCGGCAGGCCACTACGCGGGCAGCGCAAGTGGTGCGAAGACAGAACGAACGAAGGGGGAGACAGAGCAGGAGCGAGGAAGAGCACGAGGCACGGGAGCAAGCCCCCGAGACCGCCACGGAGCGCCAACAAAAACTCCCACGAGGCCCGCAGGAGGCCCCCAAGGGGCCCAGAGGAGGCCCCCCGGAGGGTCCCAAAAGGCACCCAAAAGGCCTCACCCGTGGACATCATCCCTCTCTTGGGGGTGCTCCTCCTCCTCCCCCTCCCCCTTCTCCTCCGCCTCTCTCCTCCTCCTCCTCCTCCTCCTCCTCCTCCTCCTCCTCCTCCTCCTCCTCCTCCTCCTCCTCCTCCTCCTCCTCCTCCTCCTCCTCCTCCATGTCCCACCTCCCCGCGTGTGGGCAGCGCGGGTCGGGCATTTCGCCTCAGACTTCCCCACCTTGTCAGATTCAGAAAATCGATGTTCGGCACCGTTTCAAACATGGGGGGGTATGTTTTCAAAATGTGGCTCTCGCATTCGCGTCACGCATAGCCATCCTCAAAGTTCGCAACCGTTTTTCATTGATGGAGGGGATGATTTTTCAAATGTAGCAGTCGCCGTAGCTCCGCGCACATTCGTCTACAAAACTTGCATCCGCTTCAAGGGTTGAGCATGTATCGTTTCGAAAACGTTGTCCTGGCCATAGCGCCGCGCACATTCAGTGGAACAACCCACAGACCAATCAACATCAAGGATGCGTGCGTGCGTGCGTGCGTGCGTGCGTGGGTGGGTGGGTGGGTGGGTGGGTGGGTGGGTGGATGGGTGGGTGGGTGGGGGGGGAGGTCGTGTTCAGACTGTGGCTCCCGCCTTGGGCCCGCACGTAGTCGCTTCTTACAGTTTGTAATGTGTGTAAGGCTGGTGAGGTGCACCTTTTCAGAATGTGGCTCTCGGCTCAGCGCTGCGCGCAATTCTCTGAAGAGTTCGCAGCATATTCGAAGGTCAAGGGTGTCAGTTTTCCAATTTTTCTATAAAAAAGAAAACACTGGTTCTCGTTTTAGCACTGCAGCACACGTGTGTTAGCAGGTTGCATCAGAGTTGCGGGTTAAGACGATTCCCTTCGAACATGCAGCTCTCGCCTTAGCGCCACGCGCATTCGACCCGAAACTTAGCAACAACATCGAGGAGTGAGCTCTGGTCGTTTTCAATGCGGGGCTGTCGCCTCAACGCCGCGCGCATTCGTCGTTGAAAACAACATGGCCCAATAAGACCAGAATTTCAACACATGCGCACGGATCCAACGCGGCTCTTCTTTAAAGGAACCGTCGCTAGGGACCCCCTGAAGCTCATTCCAATTCCAAAAAATGGAAACTTGTGCAGCAGGTCAACGCAGGGGGGGGAGGGTCCGTCTTCCCAAGGAGGTCTCGCTGGACACCTCGCTGCACACTGTGAGCGTGGTTCTGTCGCGTTCCCGATGACGCACCAGCAAATGTACTGGGACCTCCTTTACAAAGCGAGGCCCTCGCAACAACTGGCAAGCCCAAGTCTTGGTATTTCAGGGGCGCGCCCCTTGCGTTGCAAAGGAAAACTTGCACGAACGTGTGATGAGGGGGCTTGGGACAGGAGGGCGTGTTGCAGCCCATTGCAGACGCATTTGACATCTACTCCGGGCCTCCTCCTCCTCCTCCTCCTCCTCCTCCTCCTCCTCTGTTCTTTCGCCTCCATCTTCCATGCCCGATGACCCCTCTCCCAACCTCCCTCGCCCAACCCCACGTCCATCCCTCCTCCTCGCCACCAGCTTTGCACACTGTTTCTAAGCAACCTGATCGGACAAGATCGGGAAGCGCCGCTTTAGTCCAATGGGCGTTTGTAAAAAAGGAAGGGGAAGACGACGAGGAGGCGATGACGAGAACGACTTGGAGAACGTGAGGATCGCGAGGAGGAGCATGAGGACAACGAGGAGAAAGAGAAACACAAGGACGAGGACGAAGAAAACGAGGGCGAGTACTCGGAGGAATACGGAGGACGATGACGACGACGACGACGACGGAGGAGGACAGTAAGGGGCAATCGACGCATAATGTTGAATCAGGAGAGGGTCCTGGTAACCCTATCGGGCTACCCTGGGGGATCCTGGCGCCGTGAGGGGTTGTCTTGGGGCCTGTTTGGGGCTTCTTGGGGACCTCTTGGGTTCTCTTGTGGGCTTGTAGGATCTTCTTGGGCTGTCTAGGCGCGTCGTGGGGTTCTTTTGGAGCTTTCGTGGGCCGTCTCAGCGCCATTTTGGGCAATCCTGGGGCATTCTTTTGCCGTTTGGGGGCCTCCTGGGGCGCTCCCGGGAATCTTTTGGGGCCTTCTTCGCCCGTCTTGGGCCGTCTTGGGGTTCTTGTGAGCTGTCTGGAGCGCTCTTGGGGCTCTATTGGGGTCCTCTTGAAGCGCTCGTTGGGCCCTGTTGAGCGTCCTTTGGGCCTCCTTTGGGACGTTCGAGAGTCCTCCAGGAAGAATTCTGACACGATGTCGATTTGGACTCCATCCTCCGTGCCCCATGATCCCTCTCCCAACCTCCCTCCTCCCACCCCCCCACCTCCATCCTCCCTCCCCCCCACACCCTGTGCACACTCCTTCTGAGTAATCCGCCACCGTGCCCATTGGCACGTTGAGGGCAGGGTTTTGTAATCTTCTCAGGGACCCCACCCCCCTCCCCGTCGCACCTCGTCGCGCGCACCGGCCATACTCCCCTCGGCGGCCATGGTGCCTCCCTGGGGCCCTCCAAGGCTTCCATGGCGGCCCAAGAGGCCCCCACGACGGTCCAAGAGAGTCCGAGTCGCCGAACGATTGCTCGATGACGCCGAAGAATGGCCTCAAGATGGCGCAAGAGGCTTCCAAGGCGCCCCAAGAGGCCTCCATGAGGCCTCCCAAGAGGGTCCCCAAAGGCAACAATCATTGATTTTCCCTGCGTGGTTGAAGGATCTTGGCGCTCTCGCCTCTTCGGCTTTCCGACGCTCCAAGACGGCTCAAAAGGCCCCCGAGACCAAAACAGCCCAAGAGGCCTCCAAGAGGGTCCCAAGACGGCCTAGGAGCGCCCCAAGACGGCCCAAGAGGCGCCCAAGACGGCTCTGGAGAGCCCCAAGACGGCCCCAAAAGGGGCCCCAGAGAGGGAACACGAACTGAAAATTCTAGCCTGACACCCCAAGAGACCCCAGGAGGCCCCAAGGGGCGCCCAAAAGGCCTCAAGAGGCCTCTAAGAGGCCCCCAAGAGCCCCCAAGAGGCTCCCAACCAGCCCCCAAGAGGCCTTAAAACTTCTTCCAAGAGGCACCCGAGAGGCCTCTCACGAGATTCCAATGAACATCCACTAGGCATATAACCCACAACCCGGGAACGGTGACGGGACTTGCAGTAGGCAACTGGATCTCCCCTTCCCTCTTCCTTCCTTTCTCTGTATCCCCTACACGCCTGCTACCTTTCCGCTTCTCCCCTTCCCTCCTCAAGCCGCTCTTTCTTTTTTCCTTACACTCGTTCTTCTCAGCATTCCTCCCTGACCGTTCCCTGCTTCTCTTGCTCCACCGCCTGAGACGCCTCCTCCTCCTCCTCCCCCTCCTCCTCCTCCTCCTCCTCCGCCCGCTCACGGTCCTTCCTCCCATCCTTATCTTCTGGCTCTTCCCCCTCCCTCCACTTCTCCTCCTGTGACGCCCTCCAGGCTCGCTCTCAAGCCTTCATGATCCTCCTGCTTCCCCTGTCCTCCTCGTTGCGTTTCGTCTGCGGGCCATGCCTCGGGCACGATCGGGGGCGCTGGAGGCATCCGCGGGTCGGAAGCGCCTGCTTTGCACGCGGGCTCGCGGGCGTCGGCTGCCAACGAAGCCACGAGCAGCACCACGGCCACCACTACCGCAGCTGCTGACTCGAACTGCCACGACAAACAACTGCAACCATCACTTCCACGACCAACACTGCTGCAACTACTTCCGCTACTGCCACACCTCACGCTGGCACGAGTGCTACCGCTGGTGGCAGCACGAAACCTACTGCAACGTCTACCACCTCTCCACCCACCAGAACTGTGAGCACTACTGCCCCAAAAGGCGTCTACAGAGACTGATACTGCACCCCTCTGGAATTTCTTCCTCTGTTATTACAACCACTGCTGGTACCACTGGCGCCACGTGCGGCAGCTCTACATGTAGTACAACTCATGCCACCACAATACTTGCCACTACTTCCTGCACTTCTTGTACCACCGCGGATACTGCTACTTCGTATACTTACCAATACACCGGCCCCTGGCACCAATAAAATGAGGACCTCAGCTGCCACTAGCTTTCCGACTGCACCACCTGATTTTGACTCCGATAATGATGGGAGAGGGGATAACATGTAATTCATACCATGGGCGAAACGATGATGATACTGATCAGCTGCTGATGATGTTCGTGTTGCTGAGGATGCATCGCTTACTTGAAAAACTCGGGGCTCAGAATTGGGTATGGAGCGGAGTAAAGCGGTAGAGCACTCCATCGCCGTCAGGGCCTGTGCTGCCGAACGCTGCGCACACTGTATAGGCATCTTACCAGAGATCCCTCTCCAACTCAGGTTGCCACGTGCCAGATAGTCTGCTGACGTGTTGCCCGAGACGGCAGACGAAGATGTGGACGCTGAACACGAGGGGGGCACCGAGAGAGCTTGAACGGAGCTGGCCTCCTCGTGGGCGAAAGACAGATCCGTATCCGTAGCCACGCGGAAAAGGCCCCTGGGCCGAAACCCTGCGGATACGCGGCGTTTTTTTCCACGTATGCTCTGCGCGGAACGTACCCGTGCGACCGCGACCCGGAATCCAGACCGCGAGGTTGTGGACACGGATACTGCCGCCGCTCGTGAGGGAGAGCGCGAGCGGCGCTGGCAGCGGCCTTCAGGAAGCCTCCTCCGCTGCCTCTGGGGCCTCGTGCCGACCATGTCCTGCTGCAGCACCTCGCGGGGCGCATGGCGCGGCGCGCCCCTCCTCGGAGGAGGGAGGAAAAGGAGAAGGAGAAGGCGAAGGAGAAGGAGAAGGAGGAGGGGGGAGAGGAGGAGGAGGAGGAGGAGGAGGAGGAGGAGGAGGAGGAGGAGGAAGGAGGAGGAGGAGGAGGAGGAGGAGGAGGAGGAGAAGGAGGAGGAGGAGGAGGAGGAGGAGAAAAAGGAGGAAAGGAGGAAAAGGAGGAGGAGGAGCAGGAGCAGGACGAAGAGGAGCAGGACGAAGAGGAAGAGGAGGAGGAGGAGGAGGAAGAGGAGGAGGAGGAAGAGGAGGAGGACAAACAAAAGGCAACTTGGGAGGAGCGCCCCGCGGTCGGGCCCCGTAGCCGCGCAAGGCGGGCAGGCGGCAGCGGAGTGCCGAGCGGGCGGGCGAGCGATTGACAGGCACGACGGCATGTCGTCGCCGGTGCCACTCCGTCGCCGCCTCGTCGCCGCCCGGCGTCTGGGCCTGGGTGCCGGTCCGGCGGTTGCGGAGTCGCCGTCGCCGTCTCGTCGCGCCCCTGTCGCCGCCCTAGGTTGCACCACAATGATTGCCCGAACTGGTTGCGCCATATACGGTGCACCACATAACTTACACCACCTAGATTGCCTAACGCACCGTCGATTGCATTACATGGTTGCGACACATAAATTCTCCTCTCTGAAGAAGAATAAGCTCCACCCCCTCCCCTGGGATTCTCCCATCCCACTTTCGTATTGCATTTCGAAACCATGATCCCTCGTAATTTAAATGGTGTTCGCGTTCCCGAAGCCATACACCCTCATAACATACACAATATTCGCGCCCCCGAAACCATAAACCCACGTACGTTCGAGAATACTGGCGCCCCCGAAGCCATACACTTTCGAAAATGACAGAATTCGCATCCCCAGGGCCATAGCCCATCGTAACTTACACAATGCTTGCGTCCCCGAATCACAAAACAAATGCAAGTTAGACCATGTTCGCGTCCCCGAAACCATAAACCCCGAGGCCATACACCCTCGAAAATTACACAATGCTTGCGTCCCCGAGGCCACACACTTTCGCAAATTAAACGACACTCGCATCCCCGAAGCCATACGCCAGTGTAAATGACTTAATATTCGCGCCACCGGAGCAGCAACACTTCGTAAATTAACATTGGCCTTCGCGTGAAGTCCCGACATTGCTTCGCGCCAGCGTCCAAACATCCCAACACAGCTCTGGCAAGTCCCATTCTAAGAGAGGGTGGCCGGGTGGCCGGCGGCATCGGTGCGAAACCCTCACGGATTTACAAATGGTTTTGCTCCATCGTCCAACCTACACGTGAACTCGCATCATCCCAGCCGAGCCGGCATCGGCCCATCCCCCGCCATCCTCTGCAACATAAACCACTGTGCGCACACTCGTTTATTAAGAATCAAGAATCATGAATGTGCAAGAATCCCTTGCAACAAAGGGGACAACAAAAACACGCGCGCGTCGTCGCGCGCGCATGCCGGAATCCTCCCCGAACCTTCGGCGCCGTAGGGGGGGGAGGTCAAAATCAAGTGTCCCAAGGAACAAAAAGAGGGAGAGTGACAACGAATCTGAAAAGATTCGTTGTCGGGCGGGGGGTCGCCCACCCTCTCTTTGAGGTAAAGAAGAAAAAGGGAAGGGGAGAAAGGAGGAGGAGAAGGGAGGGGGAGGAAGAGAGAGAAGAGGGGGGAGAGAGAAAAAAAGGGAGGAGGAGGAGGAGGAGGGGGAGGAGGAGGAGGAGGAGGAGAAGGAGGAGGAACGGAAAGGAAAAGGAGGAAGAAGGGAAAGGACCTCAGGAGCCTCAGGGAATCTCAGGTAGGGGGCAGGAGCCACTCTGGCGACTCGGACTGAGGTGATGCCGCTGGGAACGGGGCCAGCAAGGTGGTTTCTGGCCCTTGTGGCTCCATCGTGCTGGCGCCGCCCCCGTTGGCATAGCCCAGGAAGGGGGAGGCGAGTGCGAGAGTTGGATGCGCATGTGGCCGCATGTCTTTCCAGCGCTCGGCCTTGCCTCGGCGCCCACGCGGAGCCTCCGCATGCGCATCCAGCGACGACGACGACGACGTCGGCGGCGGCGGCGGCGACGACGACAGCGGCGAAGGCGACGGCGGCGCCCGCGCGTCCGCCATGCATGTCGCTGAGAAAAGTAAAGAAGCGCACGCCGAAGCAGAAGCGCGCGCCGAAGCGCAAGCAGTGATATTTCTCTCGTTCAATGGAAACGAGTTGAAAACGTCAACCATTAGGCCCTTTCTTTAAGAGGACTGCTCGTCCTCACAAGAAAGCTGTTCGCTTTCACGTTACGCTCCGCGCGCGAAAGAAGACTGATCGTCTTCATAATGACAGGGGCGGAGCCTACAACAGTTTCGCTTCTCAAGTTGCGCCGCAAAAAAACCATTCAGTCTAATCAATACCATCATTCATACACATTACCATCGCTACACAGATTATCACCATTTTCAATATTATATTTATCAATATAAGCATTATCCGCATTATCAATCTATCGCCTGCTCTCCTTCCTGCGCCGTGCCTGGGTCGTGGATCAGCCTCTGTTTTTGCATTGTGGCCGCGACTCCAACTGATCCGTAGAACCTGCGGCTCAAGGTTTTCGCTGTTCGAGACATCCGCATTCCGGCGAATGGACGAACTGTGTCGTATCATCCGCAGTGCGGGCCCCTGGCCCACAGTCATCACCAGGTGCCGAAGCTGGGATGATTTCGGCGACAAATTATGGAAATATTTGAAATCAACACATGGGTTGAAAATCAGCAAAAAAGTGCATGAGGCTAAAAAGGAAGGCGGTGGCGTTGTGAAACTGTGGAAAAAGAGTTCCCTCAGTCTGCGCATGCTTTAAACAATATGTTTACACAGGGTGGCTCTTCTTCTTCTTCATTCAATCAACAGTCAGTTGCGTATATGCCGCTTCCAGGGTATTTCTATCAGAACGGATATGGCCCTTATTGTCAAACAGCTTATGGGCAATCTTTCGTTGGCCCCGTCGGCGGACAGAGAGCAACTATTAAGGAGAGTTCGTCATCATCTTCTTCTTCCTCAGAGGACGAGTGCGAGGGGCAATGTTTCGGCGATCTCAAGACCAGCTCAAATGGCAAGCCCTTGGACATATCAACCGATGCAGAAGCAACGAGGACAGCGAAGCCTGAATCTTTAGCGTTAACTAGCAAGAAGAGGCGGTGGGAGGATGAGGAAGACGACGATGATCTCAGTGTCAGGGATTACCCAAAATCGATAATCCCACCCCCTCAACCGACAAAGGGTTTCGTTTCGGACACTTATGACATTAAAGATATATGGATAATTGCTGGAGACGACGCATTGGATGGCAATTTCAATGATACTGTAGCGCGCACAAGCAAGGAGAAGGGATGGACACAATTATCTGTTCGGCTTCCAATTGACAGTATGGTCTTGCATACGTCAAATGCCATTAGTTATTTGGTACACGCATTGGATGCTGGATTGCTTTCCGCCGCAGCAAAGAACAAGTTGAATGCTAATATTGCAAAATATATAAACTTGCATTGTATCGTCAGTGAAACATCGCTGCATAAGTGGCCTTCATACAAATATGCAGATGCTCATATTGGCCGCGTGGATAACATAAATTCGGTAATGCGGGCTTTCACGGTTGATGGCCGGTCAACTGCTCAGATTGGTGGGACACCTTCTAAGCTGTTCAGGAATGAGTTCAAGAGTTGTGCTATTCTTGGTTCGAACGGTCTTTTCGGCCGCATAGATATTCCAACTTACAAAAACAGACGTTGCTATATGAAACGTGCAGCCCTGACAGATTCAAGTTTGGTTGAAGAGCTGTGGTACGCTCAGAGGTGGAAGGGGGGGTGGGCGGCGAATGGAATTCTTCTTGATGAGGTGCAATGCGTGGTAAATTCAATGCTGGGCAATATTACTGTTGCTTCTGAAGCACCTCAAAGCACTTTGGTGGTTCTCCTCACTCCGGATGGGGAGCGGCTATGAGTCTCAAGATGGCTGCTCGCCATTAAGTGTTGTCTCTCCCCCCCCTCCTCCTCGTTCTCGCCCTAAGCTGGCTGCTCGCTAGCATCTCTAAGGTAGCTGCTAGCTACCACGTACTCAGCTTCTCTGCAGACCCAACGCGAGGAAAACAGCACCATATTCCCTTTTGATCATGAAGATTTCCGCGCTTTGCGCTCTCCTCCGCCGTCTCCGCGGTGCTCATAGGACCTGTGGTGGATGCAGGTATTGCGGAGTTAAAATATAATGCAACAGTGCTCGTGGGCTCTGTGGTGCTCATGGGATCTGTGGTGCTCTTAGAAGTAGTAATAGTTGTAGTAGTAGTAATAGTAGTAGTAGTAGTAGTAGTAGTACTAGTATTGGTAGTAGTAGTAGTAGTAGTAGTAGTAGTAGTGGTAGTCGTAGTAGTAGTAGTAGTAGTAGTAGTAGTCGTCGTAGTAGTAGTAGTAGTAGTAGTAGTAGCAGTAGTAGTAGCAGTAGTAGTAAGAGAGAGAGCGAGAGATAGAGAGAGAGAGAGAGAGAGAGAGAGAGAGAAAAAAAAAAAAAAGAAAGAGAGAGACAGAGAGAGAGAGAGAGAGGAAAGAGAGAAGCGGCGAGCGGCAAAGGTGATTTCCATTATTCCTGGAAAAGGGAATTCTTTTGAATTCCACCCAAAAGGGAATTCATTTGCATTCAACCACAAAAGGAATTCTTTTGTATTCGACCATAAAGAATATCTTTCTGTATTCCGCCGCAAAGGGGGTCCCTTTGTATTCCGCCACAAAACGAATTCCTTTGTATTCCGCTACAAAAAGAATCCCATTGTATTCCGCTACAAAAAGAATCTCTTTGTATATTCCGCTACAAAAGGAATCTCTTTGTATCCCGCCGCGAAAAGAATTCTTTTGCATTCCCCCGCAAAAGGAATTCCTTCGTATTCCGCTACAAAAAAGAATTCTTTTATTTTCCGCCGCAAAAAAAATTCCTTTGTATT